ACTCAGAATCTCTGTTCTGGGAGCACAGTAATAAAAACCTGGCTATTTAAAATCGAGAAACATATCTATGGGATGGTAACAATCTATAGTTCTTAAAGTTAAATTACTTCCTTAGATAACATTACATTGATTTCAAAAAAGCTTTCACATGGCAGGCAATTTTTATAAGCAGTATTTGTTAGGAAGCCACAACTATCACCAAGAAAGCAGTATTTCTCAAAGCACAGTCCTCAGGTCCTCTATTACAGTGTGGAGTAGAAAAGAGGAAAGAATATGTATTTACAAGGCAGAATCCGGGGTCCCACAACCTTTGACCACTTCATCTTAATTTCTAGGTGGAGGTGGATCTGAATTTTTAATAAGAAAAGGTACACGTGAGCATCATTCTTTGTTACACCAAAGAACTACTAAAGTATAACACACGTTTAGAGCTATGTGACCCATACTTTTAAAATCATGTATTTCTGCCAGGCATGGTGGCACATGACTGCAATTCGAGCATGCAGGAGGCTCACCTCAAGCTCGAAGCCAAGCTGAGTTACATAGTGAGACCTTGTCTCAAACAAATAAATCACATATTTCTGTCTTCAATAAGGTGACATTTGCCATACTTTTGAAATTTAAAGGGAATGTTTTCTAAATATGTAAGATACTAATTCCACCAGCTCATTCAAGCAAATCTTAATAAACAGTTCCCTACACAGTGTATGTAAAGGACAAGGACATGTACTGTTAGCAAGATAACCATAATTTTACACTGCCTTTCTAGAAGGACTTCAAAAACCAAGTGGGTAAACAGGAAAACTCCACAAGTCCAGCCTTGCCGCTGCGCTAACAGGAAGAGGCCCAGCACAATTTTCACCAAAGTCAAATTCAGTCCAACAAAGCTCGGACAAAGTAACCTGAATAAGGCTGGCTTGCAAAGAAACATATCTCAAATTTATTCACAGTACACAAGACATCCTGATTGCAGCTGTGTTCCTGCTTTGGGGTGATCATCTTTGTTATCATGCCTTGGACTTGTAGCTCCCAATTTTCTCCTACCTTTCCTGACTGTTGCTTAGGTATCCCTGATTTTCCTTTTCATTTTCCTGTTTCCCTGTTTTCAGACAAAAATCAAAACTGCGATTCCAGTTCCCAAGCTCTAGGAAACCACTCCCCAGGCCCCGGATAAAAATGACCCAGCACATAAAAAGATGTTCAACCTTGTAAGCAAACAGGAAAGTGCAAATGTAAAATCACAAAGATGCAATTTCACACTCATCTGATTGGCAAATGTCACACTACGACATCAAGGGTCTACAGGACTATGGAAGGACTGGAACCTCCCAAACATCGCTGGTCAGAAGGTAAATTGATATGACCACTGTTGATAGAATGCCGCAACGTATTACAGAAAACATGCTCATTTTCCTTTGACCCAGCAATTTCCTTCTGGGTGTATACTACAGAGATATCTTAAACATTACACAGGCAGACGAGTTCACAACCATTCATAGCACTAAAATGGTGCAGATGAAGAACAGGAAGCCTAAGTGATTATCAACAATAAAGAGAATAACTTGAGTGCATTATAGCATATATATGTAGAGGACTAGTACACGTCAATTAAAATAAACTAAAATTATGTGTATCTTATTAAACGAGTAATCTAAATAAAATAATTTAAACAAAACAGATCAGTGCAGTACTAAAGAGTATGTTTAAAACAAGTAAACAACATTATAGCTGATTTATGTGTGCACACATATCTAGCAAAAGCATAAGAGCATCACTATTCAACAAATACAGAGTAGCAGTCACTGAGGGGACAGGGACAATGAAAGGAGGGAGGGCTCACAGGAGATTTTAATTGTATTTGAAATATGTTATTTCTTCAGTGGGTGGGGAACCCTAAGTGTTCACTCCGTTATTCTACATACTTTTCTGAATGCTTAAAATTCATCTCCACCCAGCAAAGGAATCTCACATCTGAACTACTTTAAAGCACTTGAGGATTTTGTTCTAAAAGAGACCTTAGGACTTCATGGGCAGAAGGGAGGCTGGACTATGAGTGGAGCCTTGGGAACCAAAAGAGTCTCCCCACTCCAATACCATCAAGACCATAAAACTATTGAGCCCCTCCACCCCAAAACCACCAGGACCATAAAACTATCTATAGCAAATATTCATTCCCAAATCTTGGTAAAATCCTGAGTCGGGGATTATAACATCCTCAAAACTGTAACCCATAATTCCAGGACAGAAATATTCCAAAAACTTTTAGTGTCTGTGCTGCTGACTGACACAGAAACTGACTTACAGATTTTGCTGGTTCATTTATGGGTGGTCTTTTCTCTCAAAAGACCAATCCTTTCAAACTCTTACATTAGCATTTGGTTTCACCACAATTAAAGATTTATTATAAAAAGTTTCATGAAAATATTTAGACCAGAAAAGTTAACTAAACTAAAAGATACCATCATGTACAACTCCTCCAGTCGGTTTGCTTTGTGGTAGGCAAGAGTCAAAAACCACCCAGCAACATCTTTTAGATGATATTACTGAACTAAATACCATCATGACAAAGCCTCAGTCAGTTCAAACTAACTAGAAAAACCAGGCTGGGCAAGGGGAAAAATGTGAAATAGCAAAAATTCTTAATTGCTAAGGGAATCACAATTGAAATTTAATTTCAATTACAACCTCAGATACCAAATTCCAGATAAAGAAGTTTTATAGTATGGCTGAAATGGAACACAAAGTTGACATCCAGAAAAGATATTGCAATCTTGAATTCTAACTAAACACAGACATTCTTGAATTCTAACTAAACACTGACATTTGTCTCCCCCTAGGATTCCAAGAAAGAAAAATCTGCATACCTAATTGACAGGTCTTGACCTATCATACACTCCTGCCTATTAGACCTGTGGGGCCAGAAGAGCAGTCTTTTTCTTTAAACATTAACCCATCCAACCTCAGGCTGCGTTTTTCAAAACCCAACAACTATCAGAGTAGACCCTCACACACAACTAACCATCCCTAGCTGACACAATAATCTAAATTCACAGTCTCCAACTATCTTTGATAACATAAGACATGACTAACAAAATGTAAGCTATCACTTTCCCCAAATTATGACACTGACATATTTTTATTTAAATAAATTGTCAACTACTCTCACAACACTTGCCTCAGATAAGCAGTTGATAAAATAAAAACTACATTTATAAAAACACTCTAGTTCTATTTCAAATTTTTGCTAATTTTATTTCCCTTCATAGGGGGAAGGGGGTACCAGGAATCAAATCAGGACTTGTACTTGCCAGGCAGGTGCGTATGCCACTGAGCTATATACCCGACCCTACTTCCCTTCATTTTAAGGTAACTTGATTTATTTAAAAGAATTCAAACCAGCTCTGTAGACACACACCTGTAATCTCAGTACTTGAGAAGCTGAGGCAGGACTGCCACAAATTCAAGGCCAGCCTGGGCTACATAGTAAGTTCAAAGCCAGTCTAAACTACATACTCAGACCCGGTCTCAAAAGTACCAAAAGAATTCAAATCTAGCAGTCTCACTGGTGTGAAATATTATCCTGGTGTGGTTCCACAGATGTTAAAATGCTAATAACTGGTAAGTTTAACAGGTTTTAAACAAAGTAGTTAGGTGTTCAAATGCTACTAACCATTAAGAGATGCAGATTTTATAAAAACTTAATCTAAGAAATAAGAAATACTATACCTTATGAAGCTTTACAAGCTGAGAAAAACCAAAATTCCCCAGAAATACAACTTCCACAAAGCCACCAACAGAGATTCCCACTCACACTATCATCATGTCCTCATATAAAGCACAAGCCACAAGTAGAAAGTATATCACTGTTACAGAAATGTCCTGTTGCATGAATCATCTCTCCACTCTACTGTTTCTGAGACTTTGTTCCCCCTCATCCATGACAATACCACACTGTATGAAAATTGTTCCATCTTTACCAATATTAGGCCCCCAAAATGAGGAATGGCTAAGCTCATGGTGGACAGAGACCCACCTCCCTCATTTATTAAGCACTGCTATGTGCCAACACTAACACAGCAAAACCTCAATGAAATATTGAAATATTGGCAACTGTGGAGGCAACATCCTCAATGGACGACCTTTTATAGGTATGAGACTTGGAATCTATTTGATAGATGACATTTGCTCCATTATTAACAAACGACATGAAAGTAAGATAATTTAGGCCAATTTGCATTAGTACAAGTCACATTTGATTTCTCCAAATACATCTTTAGAAAATTTCTCAATTCAAACAGAAAACAAAACCAAACTTTCCACTTACAGTGCCATAAAAATACACAGGTAGTTAAATCCATTGGTCTGGTCAAAAATTAGAGGATTAACAACAGGGTATGCATTTCCTCATGCTTGGTAGCAGCTACAGCATTTTCAAAATTACAACACACCAGCCAAACAAGCTTTACTGTCTCTGAACCAAACCCTGCTGTGTGCCCAAGTTAACTTGTCCTAAGCAAGCTGATCAGGAATTACTATGGTAAGAAAATCTCAAGGAAGAAGTTAATGGGAACCAGTATTAAATTTCCAAAGGAAACTAAAACTTCAGTGGGGTGGGAGGTAAGGGGAGGGGTGTCCCCAGTATCAAATACTGGCACAAGAAGTGTGGGAAGGGGTGGTGGTTTTAAGCTCTCCATCACAAGAAGGATTTACAGTTCTGTTTCCGCTCTGCTGGGTTCTTTTTTCCCTGGTGGAGGAAACAAGTCTGTTTTTCAGTGCCCGGTCTTTGTCTGTTTGTCTTCCTAAGCAGGACAGTATCTTTTAACACCTTTCTTGGACACACATCAGCCTGAAGAACTTGGCTTTCCAAAAACAATGTAATCCTTGCTTGCTCTTGTAACTACTGGAAACAGCTGACACCAAATGGACTTAGGAGTGGGAAAGATCAGCAATAAGCCTTACAGAAAAGCACACCAGTGAATGAAGACCCAGAAAAGACCTACCTGGAAGCAATTCATCATCACGTGAAAGCGCTGAAGAGAGGTCCAGGGAACATTGATGTCTGATTGTATGAAAAGACAGCAGTCTCCTCATCACGAAGCCTTCTCCTCTGGGAAATGAGTCTGGGAGGGGCAGAGATGAACTGAACTGCCTTTTATAGGGGGCGGGGTTAAGAATTTCCATCCCAGCCTTTTGTAAATGGCAGTTTTGCTTCGTTTGCATAACTCAACCTGCGGGTTGTTTATATTAGTGGTTGCATTCATCAAGTCAAAGTAGGTACAAGCTCTGTGGTCCCAGACAACCAACGTGGAAAGATACTGACGGTAACAGCCATCTGGGTACTTACTAAGTGCCCTGAGTCCCAGTTACTCACATAATACAACTACCTGATGAGGTAGCAACCCTTATCATCCTCTTTTTATAAATTAGGACAGCAAGACAGAGGGCAAGCTGCTCAAGGACACAAAGTTAGTGCAGGTTGGCAGCAGAATTTGGACCTAGAAGTCTGGTTTTAGAGCCCAAACTTCTCATCACTTGCTTGAAAAGAATTTCTGAACAGGAGATAAAACGATCTACCTAAGAATTCCTGGGTCTTCACCTAAATTCTAACCTGGGGGCCTTTTTAGGTCAACACAGGAGATGTCAAGTCTCCAGACACAGTCATGGCCTGCTCTTCTCGTGTCCTTCTGGCAGCTTGTCTCCCTGGCTGAGTTTCACTGAAAACAGGTTGTGACATTCTGCCCAGGTGTGTGCCAAGAAGCCCTGGCTGCACTGATGGCAAAAGCCCTGGCTTCCTCTTGGGACACGCTAGCTCTCAAGTTTCTAGCCAGCTATTAGACTGAGGGGTGTCATCATACAGAAGCAGGACCCGACTGCCACCAAGTACAAGGATCAGGCCTCAAGACCCTATAAGGCCTCGGGCCACCCTAGCAGGCACAAGTGGCGGTATTATAGCTATGCTTTCGCAGCTCCCCTCGGGAAGTGGTCAAAGCAGTAACCTTCTTCACTGCACCAAGGAACATTAATGTCACTCGACAGCAAAAAGCAGGAAACCTGTCTCCTTGTGGAGAAAGAAAGGGAAAAAAAGAGGAAATGGAAAAGCTCCAGGAACTTTACTCACATTATCTAACTTGCCTGCACTAACACTGGGCAGCTATCACTCTGGGAAGCCCTAGCATCTGCTCTTCTGGCTGAGGCAATGGCCTTGCCCAACAGTGCTGAAAGCTGAAGCCAGCACCAGTGAGTCTTCATTCCACCCCAGAGCTAACACATGGCTCCTTAGTGCTCCTTTGCCATGTGTTGCTCTTGCAACAGAATGTGGGACAGAAGATTTTAAAAGCAACGTGTGATGGGGGAGGGCAGCTTATCACCTTTCTGAGGCTTCTAAAAGGCCTCAGATTCTTTCAAAAGGGGCCAGTATTACCAGCTTCCAAGGGGGTTTTCCCAAAAGTGGCACTAAAAGAATATATATTCCAGCTTGTACTAAACTGGAGGAGGGGTGGTTCTAAATAGTTAAAACACACACCCCTCTATACTGCACAAGGGACAATGCTTTGCCCCAAGCTGAGCTCCCCAAGGCTGTGACAAGTGAGGGTGCCAGCAGGGTACACCCTGGGAACCCAAAGGCTGTTCCTGCAGATACTAAAAAGGAAGGAGAAAGCAATGGGAGAATCTCAAATGAATGTGACCACCAGGTCATGGCCCCTGACCCCGTTAGAGCACAGTGGTGTCCCCTTGCCGCGTCCATGCCCATCAGCCTCCTCTTGTCTACAGCAGACTCAGCAGGAAACCTAGAGATCTCCTGCACACTCCCAGCAATCGCCCACCTCTGGGGCCTGCACGAATTACTGCCATAGAACCTTGCCCCTCTCTTTCCCAGGTGGGGACACTTAAGTATCCCGAACAAATCACAGTGCTTTCCTAAACCAGGTTGAAGTTCACCTCTTTAATCACATTTTGCACTTTCTTTTTTTATAGCTCTATTACATTTTAAATTTCTCCAGATACACTGACTTGATTGCTGTTGCAAAGTGAATTTTAAATACAACCGAAGGACTCACTCAAAATGCGATACGAGGACAGTCACAGAGTCCAGTAGGGGTTTATTAGCACGAGGAGACCATAGTTGCCCCCCACACCCTGCTCACCCCTATCAACTTCCCCCGGGACATCCCTGTGCAGCCAACTCCCTCCTCCCAAGCCACTTCCACCGCAACCTGGGGGCGGGGGTCAGCAGCCCTGGGATCGGCCGGCAGGCGGGCTGGCTCTCGGCTCCCTACCCCTCGGGTGCTGGGGCCGAGACGGGGGCGTGGGCGAGGGGTCCCCGAGTCCAGCAGCTCGGGGGCGGCAGCCGGGGCAGGGTACTTACGGCCGCTCACCCGCCGCCCCGTCCCCACCCCGCCGCTGCCTCCGGGCGTGTGCGCGGCTCGGGTTTCCCTTTCTTCGCCTCGCGGCGCCGCGGGCACGGACCCCCAGGAGCAGGAGGAGGAGGAGGAGGAGAAGGCGGAGGAGGAGAGGTGGCGGCGCGGCCACTCACCATATTACAGATGGAGGCGATGTTTCGGACAGTCATTAGTCTAAAGGTTGCAGCGATCCCGCACCGCCATCTTTATGAGGTGAAAACAGGACTGTCCATGGTGGAGCGCTCCAGCGAGGCCGGGCGGGCGGCGGCGAGGCGGCCTGGGGTCCGGCTTTCAGTTTGGCTGAGCGGCGAGGCCGGGAGGGAGGGAGGGAGGCAGGGCGAGCGGCGGCGGGGCGGGCGGAGGCGGCGCCGGGAGGGAGCGAGGGCGGGGAGTGGCGGAGCGAGGGAGCCTGGGCCGCGGCCGGCCGGTGCGGGGAGGCGGGGAGGAGGGGAGTCCGCGCCCCCGGTCCTCCGAGCGCCCGCGCGGCCGCCGCCTCCGGCCTGCGCGCGGCTGCTGCCTTCCTCCGGCGGGCCGCTCCGGCCGCTCCGCTCGCTCCGGAACGCGGGGCCAGCCAGCGGTCGCACAGCTGCAGCAACCGTACCCGGCGGTCCGCGGGCCGGCCTCGACCTCGGGGCCGTGGCGGTGCCGGGGAAGGCGGACTACGCCGGGCGTGGGACCCGGGCCGGGGCGGGCCGGAGGGGATCCGCGCCCGGCCCGGCGCTGTGCGGGGGACGCCCACCCCAGCAGTGTTGGGTTCTATTATTATTATTATTATTATTATTATTATTATATTGATTTTGGCGAGCGGAGAAAGCGAGTGTTTGAAGTGACTAATTCCAACTTTTAGTTTCTCCCCGGGGTTCTAGGGAGGTAGCACCGTCAAGAGAAGCCGCAGGAGAAATGGGGTCACCCCATGGAAGTGGCCAGGAAACCCTGACCAGCAGCGGGCCAGCTACTTGATAAAGGGTGCCTAGAAAGGAAAGGAATCCGGGTCTGGACGGAGCCCAGATGCTCTGGCAGTGTGTGACATTAGCAGGTACAAAGGAAAAGTCCTGGTTCTAGGCAAGTACTGCAGATTGTCCAGAGTGGAAAGAACCAGAACAAAACTTTTCTCTTAGGGAACCTGACCTCTAGTGTTTTGAGATGCAGGCTAGTTAGGGTTCAGTACATTTACTGCACCTAAGATCATGTTGCAGACCAAAGTGATGTCAATTAAGTTCATTCATGTAAATTCAAAGAACCCATTTCCAAAGGTGGGAATGAACTCCACAGGCCAAGATGGCAGTTCAGTGTGCTTTCTTGCCACACAGAAGTTCTACAAGCAAAGTGCATAGTAAATTCTTCAACAAATACATGTCATGACAAATTGAGTTCGAAGAGAAATTAATGTAATTGAAGACAGCTTTTATCCAACCAAGGGTAACATACTGGGGAGAAATTTGTATTATAAACATGTGTAAGGTTTGAATTCCAAGACAGTGGTGATGAGCTCGTGGCATGGGTGTTTTTCTTTTAAGACAAAGAATGTTAATGTACGAGTTGCTTTTTCTAAACTAAAACCTCAGTGTTCAGGTTTAATTGCCATGTTTGCATTTTGCAGTAAATAAGTGGTTCAGGGTTGCAGTTTCGACACTCTTAAAGGTTCGCCATCACTGTCCTAGAATACTGCTAACAACTTTGTCAGCACTGTATCTCTTAATGAATATAAAAATTAACATTCCTATCTACATCATCTTCCTACCTACATCCGATTTCCAAATAGATCCTGGTGGTAACAGTAGCCTTGATATTTTAGTGTTGTCCATCCTGGTGTTCTTTACATTTATGGTCTTCAGTTGCCACCATAACTGTCAGGTGATAAATGCTCTTACCTCCTTTTCTGCATCAGTAACATAAAGCTTAAAGGAACAAGTTTCCTGCCCAAGTCTGTGTTGCTCAAGTCTGTGTTACCCAAATGTTACAGATGACATTGGTGTGCTAACCTATAGGTTGGGGACCACTGTGGGAAAAGAGCAAAATAACCAAAGTATAACCCACCAGGACACTGAGGCCCAGAAGACTTACACTGCAAAGTTCACAGGACTAAAAGCACCATTGGCATAATGAAAACTGAATAGCTTCTGATTTCTGAGTGCTGTATCAGCAAGTGAAAGGGATCTTTTGCACGCCTTTTAACAGCGTACAGCTTAACTGTCAAGTGTTCAATATAGACAAACAACCAGACTGAAACTTGGCCAAGTGAGTTACATATACAACAAATCAATTGAACACAGCAGAGTTTGTCAGACTCATGAATGATTAAATACAGTTTATACTTCCATGGGGTTGATATTCACAGGTCTAAACTGGAGAACACTTGAGTTGAAGAATAATCATGACTTGCACTTCATTCAGGAAACGTTCAGATGCTATAAAGAGGTAAAATCTTGAAAATGTTGATAAGCTGATTAGAAAACTATGAAGAACAGGGGCTGGGGATTTAGCTCAGCAGCATAAGCGCCTGCCTTGTAAGCAGGCAGTCGTGAGTTCGATCCCTGGTACCGATAAAAATGAAAAAGACAAAAAAAAAAAAAATAGAAAACTGTAAAGAACAGTGTTCAACTTAAAGAGATACTATAAACTGGCATGAAGTGTTAGGACTAGAAAAAAGAAAGCCAAATGGAAGGATGGACTTAGGCTGGCATCAAATAGCTTAAATGAATTTGAGAGACATGGTCATGACAGGTGGTGTGCCCCACACTACACTAAGTGTGTACATACGAGCAGTTCATAGCATCTGCTGGAAGGTTTTTAGAGATACAGACTCTCAGTTCTCATCCCAGACCTAAATGAAGTAAAACCAAACTTAGTTTAAGGTATGAGGAGCGCTGCTCCCAGCTAACTATCTGTGGAGGAATTCTGTTTTTGCTTGCCCAGAAATCACTTTCCTTCTTAGGATGTAACAGCCTCTGGATCCTACTTTGGGGAATTTGGCCCTCCCACTCCCAGACCCTAGGATTCAGGTATGTCTAAGCTTGGGCCCTGGCTCCAGAGGAAGGCATGTGGTCCCAGCCTGGCTAGTGAGAAAACCTCATGACCCAGCCACAGTGACGAGTTCAGAAAACAGTGTATAATACAAACCAAGTCAATAAGAATCAGATCTAGAACTTTCAAGAAATATCCTCCTTCCTGAGTTTGCTGAGCTGATTGGATAGACCTGTTGTCTTTCACTCCCTAAGAATGAAGCCAAACCGGAAAAAGAAGCTGAGAAATGGAAGAGATCTTAATGGAAGAGATTCACCCACTTGTTGCCATATCTAAATCCCTGGACTTTTCAGTAACTCAAGCCAGTAAAGTCTTTGTCTCTTTGGCTATTTCAAATTGTGTGTCTGGGAGCTAAGGATGTAGCTCAGTGGCACTTGCCTGGCTGGCAAGCACAAGGTCATGAGTTTGATTTGCGGTACCAAAAAACAAAACCTAAAACAACATTGTGTATGTGCTACTCAGGTCTGAAAGAATGCTAATTCGCCACTGTCTTTCGGTCCTTGAAATTCATTAATCTCCTTCTGAACTCATGATGTTCCTGTGTCTTACACTCCAAAAGGATCTTTTAAGGCCTGCCTCTTCCACTAGGCCTTACTAAATTGTTCCCCCATATACACATACAGTACTGCTCTCCCTACCTCCACCAATTAACTTCCACATCTGGGAAGCAATTAGTTTCATATTCTTCCTTCTGTTGTCACCAGTCTGATGTCTGTTTCTCTCCTTTTCACTTATTTACACCTCACTCCGCCTTTAGGTGTCACCTGAGACAAGTGAGATGCTTTTATTTTATGCTCTTACAGTACCACCCATCCTCCCATTGTGGCACTCAGATCTGTAAATATGTTTATTCCACATGGCACAGGCTGGTGCCAGTGGGTAGTTAAACAGCAGACCTTGGCGTCAGGCCACCTGGATTCTATAAATCCATGGTGAGTTGATTGGTTTTTTTGTTTTTGTTTTTTTGGTACGAGGGATTAAACTCATGACCTTGCGCTTGCCAGACAGGTGCTCGTGCCACTGAGCCCAATGACAAGTTTGTTAACCTTCCCATGCCTCAATTTCCTTATCTATAAAGACAACAAGAGAACCTCTCAAAGTCTGATTTCATCACTCTCTGTAAAACATGAGAAATATGCCAGCACATACTAACCATTATCTACGTAAGAGCTATTACTATTTTGCATGTATTTTTGATGGGGTTATTTGATGTTCATTTCCTCCCCCTCATCAGATATAAATTAAGAAACAAATCTGTTCTTGTTCCCCTTGTTACAGCTAAAGAATCAGTTCACCATCCTTTGGAAGAGCTAATAAATGGAATATTGAATATTTAGAGAGTCATCTCTCCAAGTGGTCTGGAAGCTGCTGGGGGGACAGAACCTGGTCTTACACATTTTTTTAAAACCTCATTCGGATCTCAAGCACTATGCCTGGCACACTGATTCTTTTCTTTTTTTCATCACTGCCAAAAAGGCGATTGCAATTCATTTGGTATGCAAATGCTAGTAAACATTGGCTGCCTGGTGAGAAAAAAATTACTTTGCTGGCTGTAGATAAGAGTGTAGAAACCAAACTGGTTTCTGTGGCTATTTCAATTTTGTACAGAACTTTAAGACAACATTTTTCCTTAGTCATATTAAAAGACACACTCTGTGCAAGAACGTTGATGATTCTAGGATAAAATGGCAGTCATGACCTGTGCACTGCTTGATTTCTAACACACTATTCAATGGAATTATTTATGAATATCTACACCGTTCTTGTGGGCTAGTAGCATAAGATAAGAATAAGATAACACTTTGGAGTGAGCATCACAGTAGATTCCTCTAGTGGAGAAATTACATCTAGAGTCAACCTAAAATCATGTTTTATGGTTATATTTTTGAGAGTTAAGATTCCCTAAGCCTTTGCAACCATTGGCTTATTCTAAACTCTCAACTGAAAGGCCACTGAAGGATTTCTAAAACTAGTGTGGAGCATGATTAGATTTGTATTTGAAATACATCTTGATTAACTGAAAGAACATGGCTACACTATAGAAAAAAGAAGGGCAGCAAAAGTATTCTAGATGAGGCCAGTGAGAAACCCAAGAGAGGGCCACAGTTGGATTTAGGATCATGGCAGTAGAAAAAGAGGGAAGCAGACAAATCAGAGACTGGCTTTTGGAGGTAGTCAGCTGGATTTGTAGTTGACCGGGAGAAGGGAAAACAAATCCAAGGTTTCTGTGTAGAGTGAAGAGTTTCATTTTTTTCCCCCTGATTGGGAATGTTGAAGGAAGCTCAGATGTAGATCACTGGAGTGACACCAGCTTGGTTCATCACTGCCAAGTACTAACTTTAAGGCAACCATCAAACACTCAGATATTTCATTAGGACCTTAACTGT